AACTGCATTCCCCCGCGATCCCCCCCGAAATGACCTCTGGAGAAAGGCATTCTGCAGGTGAGGGGCCATCACTGAAAGAGTCCCGTCCTTGGTTGCCACCTGCTTCACTTCTGCAGGCACGGTTACAGAGATGGGGGCTTGTGAGAAGGATGTTAACTTTTAGGCTGGACAGTGTGGGGAAGGGTGATCCATCAAGTACCCTGAGCTCAAGCAAAAATGCCACAGAAGTCTGCAAATAAGACTTTTTGATCACAATATCTTCTTGGATGGATGGAAGCTTGACATCTGCCCAGAACAGGAAGGTGGATTCTGTCCTTGATATCCTGTATGGCACACTTTATCTTAGATTCGCTGTAGACCCAGTTTGGTGTGGTGGTTAAGTATGCGGACGCTAATCTGGTAGAGCTGGGTTTGATTCCCCACTCCTGCACTTCTACCTGGCTGGATGACCTTGGGCAAGCCATAGTTCTGATAAGAGGTGTTCTTGAAAAAGAGCAGTTTCTGTCGGAGCTCTCTCAGCCCCACCTACCTCACAGGGTGTCTGCTGTGGGGAGGGGAAGGGAAAGGAGTTTGTAAGCCGCTCTGAGACACCTTTGGGTAGTGAAGGGCGGGGTATAAATCCAATCTCTTCTTCTTCTTCTAGAGTGGATAAGTTTTTGGAGGCCATTTTAGTTCTTCAGTTCCCAGGTGTTAGACTAAAGGGGAACTACCTAGATAATTTTACTTTCATTCAAGACTTTCCCATTATACCTTGGAAACCTGCCCGTCTGTTTAAAGATATGATTCACATTTTCTTTCTGTATTCATGGCTAACAAGCTGCCAAGCTTTGTAATCACGGCAATGGATCCTAATCTACCCCTGGGCATTTTACTTACCTTTTAATATATGAAGATATATTTCTGCCTGCCCTTATTGCTTAAGTAAGCATCGATAGGAACATGGTTACGTGTTCAAACCCTAGAACGGGTGGGGGAGGGGTATCCATACACAGACGCCGGCAATCAGGTGCATATCTCTGGCTACCTGAGGACCACATGGTCAAATGGGCGCTGTGCACATGGGGTGGCATACACATAGCATACAGGACCACACAGTCAAGTGAGTCTTGTGAACATGGGGCCTGGCATGGGTAGCATACACGTGCCCCCCCCAACTGACATTTGTGGCCATACACGTGGGGCCCCCTCACTGAAAATGGATGATAATGTCAGTTCAGGAGAGGAAGAAGCAGGCCCGTAGCCACAGTGGGGCATTTCGGGGTGCCCACCCCCTTAATTAAAAACCCCACCCCACAAATAGCCATGCCAGAAACCATATTTTTGAGGGCAGAGCCCCCTGTTGCCTGTGGCTGGCAGTCCGCCACGGCTTGTCGTTGGGTTTTCCTCTCCCTCCCACTGTGGGATTTGGGGGGAGGCATCATGGGACCCGGGAAAAGACCACTCGAAGGGCATTCAACTGCCTCCAGAAGGTATTTAGATGCCTTTTGAGTTCCCTTCCGCAGAGGGCATTTAATTGCCTTTTGGGTTCCCTTCCACAGGGCAAGAAAGCCTAGAAGGGCACCCAAGAGTGGCACCTTCAGTACATCTCCAACAATCCCCCTTTCTGCTAGCCCAGTCTTGGTGTATAGCACCTTGGTCGTGGTGAGTCTTTCAAAAGCATCCCCATGAGCCAAAGGCAGGCATGCAGATTAATTTAATTAACTGAAATTTAACTGCCCCCTTAAAATTTTAATACCCCCCCGAACAAAAAAAATATCCTGGCTGCGGGCCTGGGAAGAAGACGCTGGATTCCATACCTCCTCCTCCTCTCCCGCTGCATTCTTCCACCAGATCTCAGATTGAGACTGTGGTCATGTCTCCAGCACTGCGGGTCAAACAGCTGCAAGCACGTGTCGCCTCTAGGTCAAGGCAGCTGCCGTCCACTATCCAAGTTCAAGTTCCGGGGGGGAGACTTCATTTCTGATTTTGCTAGAACTAACAGCAAGTACCAGCAACAGCTACTTCAAGGACACCAGCTATGCTTCTGCTTAATTTTTTCTCCTTCTCTTCCCACACTACAGTCGGTGTTCAGCTGGATGCAGGGGGAAACGAGGCCCTCGAACAAGTCGACGAAGATCTAGCTGTGACCCAAAGTCAGATGAATTTCATATGCCCCATCACACAGGTAAGCGATGATGCTGGAGCCAAAGTGTGTGTCCTTTGTGGCTTCATTCATAACTGTGTTCATTCCGGAATTTATTGTTATGTTCGTTTCTTGAAAAATTAATTTGAGGGGGAAAAGTACAGTCTAATTAATTATTACAGGTGGAAATGAAGAAACCGGTAAAGAATAAAACCTGCGGTCACAGCTATGAAGAGAACGCCATCCTGGGAATAATCACCCACAGGGAGAACCAACACAAGAAAGCCCCGTAAGCAAGCATGAACTTGTGGTTAGGGAATCCTGCTTTGGTGGGGAAATGCAAAACGAACCCATAGTTGCCAGGTCTTACCTTGGTCCCAGCGGGGGGCTCCAGCCTGGTTCCTGGAGTTTTATGGTGCGTGAGGCATGCATGCTGCAGTGACATCACCCGGAAGTGACATCATCATGCCAGGCACATCGTGCAAGGGACGCTCTAGCATGTGGGTAAAAAACCTCTATGGTCACCAGCTGGCCAGCAGTGGATTGGGGGGGGGGGGGGAAAGCGGGGGAAACCCCGCCCCCGTTGGGGGGTTGGCAGCCAAAAAGCCATGTGATTGTCATGGAACACAGAGCTGTTGCAGGGAAAGTTCATCCTGCCCAACAACTCCTATATATTTATATCTCTCATGAAATCCTTCAGGGCTCTTTTTGTAGAAAAAGAGTAAAAAGAAATGGCCTGACAGCTAAAAGAGATTAGGTTAGGTGGCAGGTGGGCCTCAGGGAGAAAGGCAGGGGTTGTTTCGTAGAAAAAGAGCTAGGGGAACTCATTAGCATAACTCATTAGCATATGCCACACCCCCTGACATCAGGGGCCTGGCAGTGGACCTGCAAG